TTAGTAAGTCTCTTCTCATAAGTAAGCTAGCATCTTTCTGCTTGTTTATCTTCTCTGTCTCTCTCAGTTTCTCTTCATTCCTCATCAACCCAAAGCCCTGATCCAAGAAAGCAAGCTCTAGCTTCTACTATCTCAAATTCTCCCTGTTTGGTAGTACAACTGAAAACTACATAGGTTTCCCTTTGAAGAGCCTTGATATTTGATCTAAAAAATTGTAGTTGACCTGATTCATCAGTTTCAATAACCCATTTCAGTTTGTGTTGATTTGGAGGCGTCAGAGTTAGCTCCACTTATAACATCCATCCTACTAAGGAAAGTAAGACTGTCTGCAGCCATCCAAGAAGAGAAAGTAAGACTGCCAGAACTTTAATCATCTTCTTAAAATAAATAAAGAACAAAAATATCATTTATTTCTTTCACTCTTCTTCTCCCTTTCTCTTACTTTTATATTGTATCCCTCTTCTCTTAAGAAATACATATAAAAGTGCCCCCCATATCTTGTGTCCTGCTGTCACTATAGAGACCCAGGCTCACAAGCGCAGTGGGCTCTCTTGGTATGGATCCGTTGGATGTGAGGTTTTTAACTTTGGTTAGGTCTAGCATGAAGATTGGAGTGTATTGCGGAGAGGATATGTACAAATCACTGGGGATGAGAAACAGTTCTGAGGTCCGTAGAGGAAGGGGGGGGGATCAATCAGTGGATTGGTACAATCTTGACTCCAGGTCATAAGGGATTTGGACAGGTAGTTGAAACGCAGGGTTCCTTCCGGATCTGTCTCCTCGTGATACGGCATCTGTGACGTTATCCTCTGATTTGACTCTCCTTGAGACAATGTCCACCTCCATTCCTACAAGTAGCTTCTGTATCATCTTCCACTCTTTGTTCACTGCTGGATTCTTGGACTTTCTCTTTGATATCACACTCTCTGTGGTGGTGTTGTCTGTCCAGACAATGAGGGTATTCCCTGGTCTAATTCTTAGTTGGTCGAGAGCAATCAGTCCGAGTCGTATTGTGACTGTTTCTAGCCAGGCAATGTCCCTCTTGGGTTCTGGTCCTTGGTCCCATTGGTTTGTGAGTCAAAATTGGGCCCAGTATCGGCCAATTGTCATCCCAATGCCATAGCTGGTTGATGCGTCACCCATCCACCCTATTTTGGTTGGGTCTGGGTTCCTAATCATCCGGGTTTCCTTGAGGAGAGAAGTGTGGATACCACTCTTCTAGTCCTGTCTCGCGTCTGCCGGGACTGGTAGTGCCTTATGCCGGAATAACCATGCGTTAATCCATCGGTCCCCGGCAAGTGAGGTAACACCTGAGCTGGG